TATTCCCAATTTGGGAGTAAGAAATAAATACATTAAATTCTTAAACAATTCCTGGTTTATCCTTTAAGTAATATAATATCAATAAAGTATATACATAAAAACCTGGAAATTGTTGCTGATGGTAGCAGGGTAAAAAAAACCAAAACAAATAAATTCAAGCCATTCTTTTTAAGTCACTAAAAACATAGAAACATAGAATGTGACGGCAGATAAGAACCATTCGGCCCATCTAGTCGGCCCAATTTTTTTTAAATACTCCCATTAGTCCCTGGCCTTATCTTATAGTTAGGATAGCCTTATGCATATCCCACGCATGCTTTAACTCATTTACTGTGTTAACCTCTACCACTTCAGCAGTCTGTGGAACAGTCTGTGGTTAAGGAACTGGTCATTTATAATCAGACGATAAGCCACCCCTCACAATTGCATAAAGACAGGAGTAAAACAAAAATAATCACACATGTCCTGGTTGTTTATTGTAATGACGTGGAAACTAACTCAGTCAGGATTATTCACAAAAGGGAGAATTCAAAGTAAATTCAAACTGAATTTAAAATTTACAGTCAAAATAGTAAAACTGGAAACATTCTTTCAGTTTGGCAAATCTGGCCTAAATGTTAAATTTACTTTGAATTCAGTTTAATTGTCACTTTAATAAATAACCCTGAGTGGTTAGCAGGAGTTTCTGTAGCATCCAGAAAAGTATTTTCATTCCATGGTACCTCAAGGAAAGAAGCATTAGGTTTGCATGACTCTGTCCTACACTAGTTGACACAACATCAAAACCACCTGTCTAATATCATGTAGTTCCCACAACATGCTGCCGAAACAGCTGAAATGCATTGAGGCATGGACTCCATAAGACTTCTGTATGCCTCCTGTGGTATCTGGTACCAAGACTATAGCAGCAGATTATTTAAGCCTCCATGTATTGTGTTTGTTGTTCCAGCACATCCAACAGATGCTAACGTGGATTGAGATCTCGAGAATTTGGAGGCCAAGGTAACATCTTCAACTTGTTGCCTGTTCCTCAAATAATTCTTAAACCATTTTTGCAGTATGGCAGGGTGCATTATCATGCTGAAAGAGGCCACTGCCATAAGGAAACACCATGAATGGATGTTCGTGGTCTGCAACAATCTCTAGGCAGGTTGTATGTGTCAAAGTAACATCCACATGAATGCCACATTGCAAGGTTTCCAAGCAGAACATTGAACAGAGCATAACGCTGCCTTCTTCCCATAGCGCATTCTGCTGCCATCTCTTCCCAAGTATATAGCAAACTGTGATGCACTATTTGTTCTGACACCTTTCTATCATGGCCAGCATTATGTTTATCAGCAATTTGAGCTATAATAGCTTTTCTATTTGATCGGACCAGACAGGCTAGTCTGTGCTCCCCACATGCATCAATGAGTCTTGAACACCCATGACCCTCATGACTGTTTACTGGTTGTCCTTACTTGCACCACTTTTTGTAGGTACTAAACACTGCATACCAGGAACACCCCACAAAACTTGCAGTTTTGGAGATGCTCTGACCCTGTCATCTAGACATCCCTATTTGGCCCTTGTCACAGTCACTCATATCTTTTCGCTTGCCATTTTTTCCAGTTTCCAACACATGAAATTCAAGAACAGACCTTTTACTTGCTGACAGTTGCTATTTAATAATATAATCAATGTTATCCACTTAACTTGTCAGGGGTTCTAATGTTGTGGCTGATCCCTAGAGCCTCCTACACCATGTTTGTTTGTTTGTTTTGTTAAATATTCATTGCTGCAGCAGAGGAAGCTTAACCTCTTCCGTAATAATGACAACATAAGTTTAATAACAATCATCTAGCCCAGTGGTTCTTAACCCAGTCCTCAAGTACCCCCTAACAGCCCAGGATTTAGGGATTACCCAGTTGGGTCTACAGTGTTTTTAGAAAAAGAAAAAAAAACACTTTAGACACTAAAGGGTAAAAGACTCTAGCATATGCATTGTATTGCATTACTCAGTATTGGATACCTGAGCTCGGCTGTCTCTTCTCAAGGTATACTCTCTACACTTTGGGTATCATGAGAGTAGTAAATTGTGGAGCTAATGGCCCCAATGGGGTGTCTAGGGGGACAAATAGGCTCCTTAAGGCTGGTGGACTACCCTCATCCTCTAATGAAACCATAGGTCTTACTGGGTTGGCTGGGGAACCATATGAAGTTCCACTGCATAATATTACTGTAAAGAAAGGTTCTGATTTCTGTAAAATGGCCAATATGTGAGCTGGGGGTTTAGGGAAACCACAACTTGTACACTTTTCTTCACCCCAAGAATGTGTCCATTTGCACTGTGGACAGAACCAATATTCTTTCTGACTAGTGGTAGTAGAACCAAGAAATGCCTGATTTTGGGGAATTGCCTGGTCTTTAGGGACCAGGGGGTGGGTTTTCAAGATTTTTCCCAGGATCTTGCCTACTCTGGGACCCTAGAGGTCCAAAACATTGATAATACGGTATACCTTTTCTGGTGGTTTCTCTACAACCACACTTAATTAATTCAACTACAGTATCATGTCACTTTTGGGTGACTTATACTTAGTCACTATCTTCTTACTATCCTCTGTAATTTGCCATAAATTCCCTACATATCTGTGGGTCTAGAGTGCCCTCTGAGGGCATGCCAGCTTTCTTATGTAACTTTTTAATTGTCTCAATAGCTCCTTTGTAATGCTTGACAGTAGTCAAAGCTGTACATTCCTCCTAAGTGTTCTTAGAGCCACCCATCTTAAAATTTGTAAGAGTTAATTACTTCCTTACAGAAGACAAACTGTACAAAACAGTGTATAAGACACTTAGGACCACTGCAGTGGATCTGACTTTTTAAAGTCATTCCTTACCCAGACAAACCAGTAGGACGTGGATCTAAGAGCGAAATTGATATAGGTAGAAAAAAAGTTTTCCTTACCTTGCTGCAGCTGATTTCGCGGTCAGAGGGATGTCCACCTGTACGCTAGTGTCCGAGTCTTTCGACCGTCATATCCCAGGGTCTCGGCACCAATTGATATAGATCCAATTTGATCTTTGTTATATTCAAGGGAACCCAAATTGTATCAAGTTCACTTGGAGAAGCGTGAATTAGACAACAGATGCGTGTTGGTTATCAAAATAAGCCTCTGACCTTTATTTTATCAGTTTGTCTTTGTATACATTAAAAAGTCAGTGCTTACGTGTAAATACTCATAGAACAGTAGTAGGAAGGGAGTTAAATATGGAGAAATAAGGAGTACAGATAAGACATAGGCATAAACGTCATGTACATATAACAGATAAGTTCCGGGAAAGAGAAAGAAGAGACTGATTTAGCTCAGGTGGGAGCTATTTGCTCCCGAAACTAGACATATATGGTCTTAAGTGTCATTTTAAGCATTTCCTGAGTCCAAGTCAGCCAATTTTAATATAGGCTATCTAATATGACACATATAAGAGGCTTAAATTGATAACCAACACACGTCTGGTGTCTTATTCACGCTTCTCCAAGTGCACCTGATACAATTTGGGTTCCCCTGAATATAACAAAGATCAAATTGGATCTATATTAATAGTCTTCCCCTAGCGTAGTATTTGTTCATTTTATGCTGAACTTTCAGGGCTCATTATTTATTATTAGAGAAGCTTGGTTTGCAAGTGACCATCTTCCTCGGTGGTCACACCACTCCCCCCAAATTATCTTATTTTAAGTGTACTGATTTATTTTTATTGTATTCTCACAGTATAAATAGAAACCTTTTAATATAAAATTAACAAAGGGAGTTGAATATGTGGGGGGAGAGGGGTATGTATTTGCAGCTGCCAACAGGCCAAATTTTAAAAGCTATGCCTTGCATCAGAGACTCTCCAAAGTGTAGGGATTTTAATAATTCCAGGTATTCTATTAACAGCCCTCATCAACTATGTTGATATTTATTTTCTTTAAACTGCTGTGCCAGTAAAGCACATGTTCAAGCACATCCCTTATTGAGAAATATACCAAATGAGTGATTCTTGGGTTTCACCCAATATTCTCATTGAGCCTGAAATAAAATGCACTGGATTGTCACATATCGCACCTATTGAACTCCTACATAGTCAGCTAGAGAAAAGCAATGGTTAATCATTGTACTTGCGTAAGAACAATGCACGTTCTGGTAACATATTGCTCATTCTTAATAGGAAATTTCCTGAAACATTTAACAAGAATGTGGTTTATATTACACTATGTTATAACAGATAATAGATGAGGAAAAGACAACCAGGAAGCACCCCAAAAACATACTCTATATATACAGCTCCTGTATCCACTTAGTTTAAATTACCTTGCTCTCTCTCTAGAAGCAACAAGCTGAAGTTTAAGGGTTTGCACTGATAACAAGGTAAGAATACTTTACATGCATATTGTTCTTTGAGGCAGTGATAAAATTATGAATACAATATAGTAACAATAACATAAAAAAAAACTTCTGTTCAAATACTGTTGATACTGTGTTAATTTGGTCAACTTACATGTAGCCCTTATTAATTGATTGTCTTTGGGGCAAACGACTCGTTTCAGATAGCGAGTTCTCTCCCAAAATATAACTAAAGGATGTTCAGCACTTATTTGAAGTATTTGATGAAGAACTAGCTCATTAAATTAGGACAAACTATTATTTTGTGTATGTATTGCCATTTTAAAATACCCAATTCAAATATTTGCTGTTTACATAAATATTATTTTATAATATTTGGCAGAAGCTGTGGGTTATAAACTTTGAGAGGGTTAATAGGATTATCATTTATATTGCACTGTTGCAGACGGCATATGTTGACTGCCCTCCTGATGGTATTGGTGTGGATTGTGAATTATACTGAGTCTCTAAATGGTATAATTTTCAAAATATCTACCTGCATTTTGGCTTTTGCATCTTTTAAGTATGGCATGCAAAGTGCCCAGAACATGTTTTCTTTACAGCTACTGATTATTTAGCACTGTTACAGAAACATAAAAACATAGAATGTGACGGCAGATAAGAACCATTCGGCCCATCTAGTCTGCCCAATTTTCTATATATTTTCATTAATCCCTGGCCCTATTTTATATCTATAAGGATAGCCTTACTTTAACTGTACATTGCAGGAAGGGGAGATGAGACAATAATGTCCATTGTGCCTCTGGACATTCATAGAGAGTGTTTAAAAAGCAGTAACCAAAAATATATCTTTGGCTGCTTGTGACCTGCTTTGGAGGATTTTTTTTAAATCACAGGGTGCATAGAAGGGACTAAAATATACTAGATGTTGCATATCACTTAGTCTTCTTTTAAAATCTGCAGTTTCTTAAATTAACACATATGTCAGAAACAGCATACAACTTTGGCAACAGTTGATATGAATGTGTGAGTCATGTTCTCATTTGTTTGTTTTTAGCAAGATCAGTACGAACAGTTTGATATTTTTTATTTAAACACAAAAGTAGAGTTTTTGTTTTTTTAATCGAATGTAATACAGATAATAGTGAATAAGTTTGAATACCAGCTGTAACGTGTAAGTACAATTAGGCCAATGTTGAAAAATATATTTTTTGGAGATCCAATTTTTATAAATAACTTGGAATGGAATGTAGTATCAAACTCTCTCATTGTACCATTTCCTGGCATTAAGGAGAAGGAACATAAGTAGTAGAAACTACCTTTCAACAAGGATATTTCTGCTTTTCGATTGTAGAAAAACTAACATTGATTAAATAAAACCTATTTAATATTTTAGGAAAATGCTGTTGATTGCGTTCCTGTGTCTCTCAACATTACTGCACCTGTCTGTTGCAAATGTAAGTAAAACACTATTCTTTTCAATCACACCCTGACCTTGTAATACCACAGACCTCCCATTAACATTCCATTCACAATCTCAGATTGACAAAGTTTCCTACAAAACTTTTATTATTTAATCACAAGTCTGTGACCTCTGGGATTGCACACTAACTGGTCCAGGATTACTATTAAGCTGAGTAGGCAACTACATACTGCTTGTGTGATAGAAGCATGGTAGGTTACTGCCTAGTCACTGCAGCTTCCACTGCTGCACTACTAGCAGTGAGTTCAAGCAGTTATTACTAATGGGCAGGTAAGTGTCTCCACTGTTACAACCAGAGTGAAATCCCTCTGATATGGCTGTAAAAGGCCATGTACAATGCATAACACCTGCTGTGGGACTGAATAAAAATTGGGCCCAAATGCTTTTTTTTTGTTTTATTCTTTTTTTTTTTAATTTATTTGTTAATATTCATTGTTCAAGTTCAGTAGGTAGAGACATTTGCAAGTAACCATGCAAAGGCTAGTTACAAACTTCTCAAGGTCTAAGATTGAATAGACACCATACTTCCTGTTTGAGTGAACAAATGAGATGCTTGTTAAATGTCTCTTTTTAAAATCAATTTAGACTCTTTCCAAACTCAAAGTACTTAATTTTAAGCTCTCATTACATTAGTTTAATTTCATTGTTTTCAGAAGAAAAATATAGTCATATAAATTGAAGATTAATTAAATGTTGCATTAATTTTAAGGATGAAGCCATACTACCAAATTGGCCATATAAACGAATAAACATGAGGAGCAGAAGTGCATTACCCACAGAATCTACTGGGAGACCAGTTACAATTCCTAAAGAAAACATTGACAAAATGGTGAGTATCAAAATGCTTACCACTTACACCATGATTACAGGATAATAGTAAGGAATTGGCCAGGGAATCAATATAGTGTACAAATTAGTCAAATTGGAAAAATCTACATCTCAGCTATTTTCCGTTGAAGATATTTAGGCCTACACTTTCAACTCATTGGCCTATTTCAGACAATTGTTAGCTGATACAATAACCTTGCTTATTCCCCAAATACTAGATTATAGTGAATTTCCAACTGTAGGCAAAAATAGGCAAGTCATAATTACAGCTGATTTATTTTTTCTTCAAATCAACAATTTTTACCTACATTTTCAATTTATTGCATTTTGATGTTGTGCAAAAATACCAAAGTAAGTTGTCCTGCTAGGTGTATTATATTTCCTTCTCATTCATGCATTCGTAGAGCTATATTCAAGAATTGTGGAAAAACCAAAATTCATAAAATTCCAGGATTATTTTCTGACATTTGATTTGGAATTAAAATTGAAGTCTAAATTGTAGGCAAAACAAAAAATGTAAAAATTTTGTGTGAGCTTTACCAGTTTGGTTACAATTACAATTAAAACAATTACATTGGATATTTGACAATTCACCTTTAGCGAATTACCTTTATTGTCCTAATTTAGAATATAATTTATATTGGTTAACTTTTGTATTAAAATGTATTAACCAGTACATGTAAAGTATGGTAGTTTTATTTTGAATAGCTAAATGGAAACGAAAAATGGCATACATTTTTTCTCACCTACTGAACAAAAATGCACCTTTCCATGGAGCATATTCTCTACAACTGTTATACTTAAAAGCTATGTAATGATAGACAGAAAGTACTGGATGCTTAGTTTAAGTATCTGTTAAACCAGAAAATCCACACGTAATAACAAGGGATTATATCGCTTTGAAAATGTTCTTAATAGAACATGAAAATAGGGTGTGGCTTACCTTTCATTATGTAAGGCATATTTACATTAAATAAAATGTAATGCATAGCTAAACTAACCAGAATAAATATCTTATTCACTACAACCTGTAGGTAGTTTTAATTAAAAAAAAACAAAAAAAAACTTTCTAATATTTATATAATTGCTGTATAAAATATTTAATTTTGGAGGCGTTCGGTATAATGAGAGAATAATTTAATTTATCACGGATAAATATTTGTTTATTGCTACAAAAGAAAAATTGCCATATATTAAGTAATTAGTAGATTTTGTTTTTATAGCATTAATTTCAGCTAACTTGTAGGCACTACAGATAAATTTTTTTCTTAATTTTTATTTTTTTACAGGCCAATGTACCATTCTCTGCACTGTCAACAAGTAATTCTGATGTCAGGAAACTCATTATAGACACACATAATTACCTGAGAACATTAGTTAAACCATCTGCAAGCAACATGTTAAAAATGGTAAGAACATCTTGCATTTAAATATCCATTTTATCGGTCTGTCTATCTATAATTTTTTTTTTCTAACAAGCATGATAAAATGCAAATTCATAAACTGTATGAAAAGGAATACATCATAATATAATTTTCTCTCCATATCTTTCTGAGCATATCATTTACAGAAAAATGGCTAAATTAATGGCAGTTAATCAAATATTATAAATAGCAGCATTTGCTTTGGAGTGTAACTCCCTCTATTCTCCACAACATTGCCACAACTTGTCCCTGGTTCAACTTACGATGACAACAACCAGGATACAAAAATATTTTTTTACTTTGTCACTTGAAGAATCGTAATAATGAATGATTTTCTAAACTTGCATTAAACCAAAAACAGTTGTTAAAGGGTTTCTCCAAGCACAACAACCACTTCAGTAATTTTAAGTGGCTGTGGGGCCTGAAATCAATATTAGCAGTAGCAAGCTTGCAGTGTTTAACCTTTTTGTTGTCAAAGGTGTAACCCCATGTCTTTAGTCATCCCAGAATTCCTGGTGGGCTACTGTCTGTTCTATACAGGTACTCTCTGCCAGTCTGAATAGAGAAGGGATCAGCATCCATCTTCTGCAGCTTTGCAGATGATGGATGTACGTCAACAGAGCTAGAAGGACCCTCAGCGCCTAGTGTAAGATACCAAAACATTCTGCAACACTTTATTCAATTACCGGGGAACTAGACCAGGGTATAGAGCAGGCTGCAGTCATTATGATGCTTTAAGAAGAAACATCTGTAAGTTGCTTGTTACATTAGAGTCAAGGTATATCTCTACAACACATTAGTTAACCAAAGGTTTTTCTCCTATTCAAGTTTGTCCCTAAACACCAAATCTCAGATTGCAAAATGTGGGCAAACATGGCAGACTGGAAGAATAATCCAGTCACTTATTGTCACAACTTGCATGTTTTTGTATATTGATTTTTATTTAGTTTTTATGGAATTTAGTGAATAAACCCTGATGTGTTCTTAAAAAAAAAAAATGTTGGTTGAAATCTTGATATAGGAGATGGATAAAGGAGAATCTCTATTTGTTGCATCAAACCCATACACATCAGTGGCATTTGATGTTTTTTTCTGCAATGGAAATTAAAGATGTGACCTTTCAGTATACTATCTCAATAACTTATTCTTAACTTGTTCTCGATTCCAGGTGTGGAATGATGCTGCAGCTCAGACAGCAGCAAGGTATGCCAGCCAGTGCATTGCTGGTCACAGTGCTCCAAATCTCAGAACAATCCCAAGTAAGTGACAATATTTCTTCAGTTATAGAATGAATGTGATGAAGCCATCAGTGCTAGCAACTCTGATAAAAACTATGCAACCTTGAAGCAAATGATCATGCATTTCGGTTATAGGGATTTAGAATATGTAGAAGCTCTGATGGGGAGTGAATTTCACACTTGGAGAAAAAAAGGACTCTGCTCAGGCAGGAAACATTAAAGAATAAATTCCTTATGTTCATCAGACTGACCTCTGTCATTCACAAGGGATCAGGCTGACAAGAAACACAAAAGCAGTTAAGGCATGAATTAGCCATTCTTGGACTAACAAAATAGTATAAAAATAAAGAATCATGATGTGCTATTGAGACCTAGAAATACTGACTTTTACAGCAGAACAAGCTGACAATTCTATATAAAAAATACACAAAAATATTTTCAAAGTCTGTCATAACAAAGGTCATCATCTCTATGAAAGATTATTCATGTATTTATAGCTTTGCTATATGAAGTGTCATACTCGAATGCATATAGCAATAAAATCTAACCATTAACGTATTAGGGGATTCATGTAAAAACTGACATGCTGAGGTGGAAAATGGAGAATAAAATTATTTTATTCCACATTCCACATTTTTCAGCTCAGATATCAACTCGATAAAAGTTACGAACGCTTAATTTCCAGATAACCCATCTAAGAAAAGAGAGAGAAATATGACAATATATATTCATGAGAATACATTTTATTTGTCATGGTTAACAAGATACAATTCTCCAAGTTTGATGTATTCGGAGTTTGGTCATTTGGGCCTAAAATTTAAAATTAATTTTGAATTTACTGCTAATTTCCTGACATTTCACAGAATAAGGCTGCTTGTGTAGTTACTGATGCATTTAAGGATATAAAAAATTATAAACTTTTTTTTCTTGTGCATTTTAGATTTCAATTGTGGTGAAAATATATTTCTGTCAACATTTAAAGCCTCTTGGGATGATGTGCTTAAATCATTTTATAGTGAAGTTGTTGATTTTATATATGGGTATGGACCAAGACTTCCAAATATACAGACTGGTCATTATACACAGGTAAGTCCTACCATACAGAACATATAATATGTGTTTAAAGTGTACATTAAATACAATTACATAAATATATACCTTGCAGTAGTGATATAGCATTGACTATGTTCACATTATACAGAGTTCTATAAGTGGGTAATGTATTCTAATGCAAGGTTGACCTGCAACAGTCACCTAGAACCTTGCCATAAAAGCTCCTTGCGAAAGTCCATCATTTGGTAGACCTCTGCTCCTCGAATAAATCAAAGAGATTTAATTCCAGAAACCTTTAATATCCTTTGTAATATTATGGATCTTATGAAATTACAAGGATAAGCCTGATGGGGTGCATTTTCCTAAACTAGTAACATGACATTTGCCAGCCAATGAGATACATATGCTGCATATGGGGTAATTCTACAGGAACATATACTAAAGTGGAGATAATGGGAAACAAATGTCTTTTTTTAAATACATTTTAACACATCTCTCTCATATTAAAAGCAGAACTCATTTAATTATAGACTTAATTCTAATATTTAATATTTTTACAGCTTACATGGGCCACCTCCTTTCAGGTTGGATGCGCTGTTGCCCAGTGCTCAAATGCTAAATACACATACAACTATGTCTGCCATTACTGTCCACCGTAAGTATTAACTAATAATTTCTGTTGGTAAAATCTTTGTCTTTTGTTTATCTTTATAATCTCTTGGAAATAATCATGTTGACTAATTATTATTTATGATAATTTTAGAGGAAACTTCAATAGCTCAATTGGCTTCCCATACAAAGCTGGACAGGCATGTGGAGATTGCCCATCATCATGTGAAAATGGCCTGTGCAGTAAGTAATGAAATGCAACTGTTTTTCCATCCATCATTCCACACATCCATCCATCCATCTTCTCTCTCTCTCTCTCTCTCTCTCTCTCTCTCTCTCTCTCTCTTTCTCTATCTCTGTGTCTCTCTGTTATCTTTCTTTGTCTGATTGATCTGTCTATACATCTCTGTTTGTTTGTTTTTTCTGTTTCTATGTCAGTCTTTTCAAAGTAGAAGTTTTATTGTCCTCTGATGATATAAAAATATATAACAAAACATAGAAGAAACATTTCATGCACATTATCTTTATTTATTATCTTTTTTTTTTGCCGTTTTTTTAAATTAATTCTTTTTTTTTTTTTTCAGCAAATCCTTGTCCTTGCAGGACTGGTTTGCCAACTGCAAAATTTTATTTTGGACAAAATGTGATGCAGACCTTGATAGAGATTGTCCTGCTACTTGTCGGTGCCCTAAAAATCAAATAAAAATAGCACTCTAGTATTTTTCCAGTTGACAAAGTGTAACATAATTTATTATGTATTGTTTATGTATGATGTAAAATCAATATTAATAATGTAAAAGAATATTATTTGCTATATGTCAGTATTATTATATTTAATTATTGCAAAATATGGATTTATATATATATATATATATATATATATATATATATATATATATATATATATATATATATATATATATATATATATATATTATGTAATGTAATATGTATGTAATATTGTATCCATGTTACCTGTTAAAAATATGCAACGGTTTAAAATATTTCCATCCTGTGTAAAGAAGCACCAGTATATTTAATTATTATTAGTATTATTGTTATTATATTTATTTATTATTATTATTATTATTATATATTTCTGATTGAAAACCTTTATTTTCAAATAGTTGTTCATATACATATATATGAAATTAAACATTTGATCATGCTTATTTATTTTAATAAAAACTCTATCAAACTGATTATGTGATGTTTAATGTATTTTTACTTGCTTTAAATCATTGAACTTTTGTAATTAACTAATCATTTATAACAATGATTTAAGGATAAGAAAAAGGTACATTTAGAAACTAGTCCTGAAAGAGGAATCACAATGCATCAAAATAACATCTCTGTGCCTGTTGTTAAATAAATTCTCCCCATTCCGCCTGTATTGCATCTATTGCAAATAATAGTACACACTGCTACTCACAATGGGAGTCTGCCTATGCTCTCAGCCAATCACCAGAATTAAAGTCATCACTTTGCATACAGCTGCCAATCACAATAGGGAGAAGAGTGTGTGCTGGGTACCCAGGAATATGACAACTATTCAAACATGGTTAAATACAAATTTCTCCACTCCCTCTTGGGTAAGATCAGCCAATATATACAGGGTGGACTTCTGCTGTGTAGGAACTTTAACTTTATTCAATCTCCAACTTTAGACACGTCTCCTTCACTTACAGGATGCAGCAGGAGACATAGAAACATAGAAACATAGAATGTGACGGCAGATAAGAACCATTCGGCCCATCTAGTCTGCCCAATTTTCTAAATACTTTCATTAGTACCTGGCCTTATCTTATAGTTGGGATAGCCTTATGCCTATCCCACGCATGCTTAAACTCCTTTACTGTGTTAACCTCTACCACTTCAGCTGGAAGGCTATTCCATGCATCCACTACCCTCTCAGTAAAGTAATACTTTCTGATATTATTTTTAAACCTTTGCCCCTCTAATTTAAAACTATGTCCTCTTGTTGTGGTAGTTTTTCTTCTTTTAAATATAGTCCTTTACTGTGTTGATTCCCTTTATATATTTAAATGTTTCTATCATATCCCCCCTGTCTCGTCTTTCCTCCAAGCTATACATGTTAAGATCCTTTAACCTTTACTGGTAAGTTTTATCCCGCAATCCATGGACCAGTTTAGTAGCCCTTCTCTGAACCCTCTCTAAGGTATGAATATCCTTCTGAAGATACGGTCTCCAGTACTGTGTACAATTCTCCAAGTGAGGTTCTGTACAATGGCATGAGCACTTCCGTCTTTCTACTGCTAATACCTCTCCCTATACAACCAAGCATTCTGCTAGCGTTTCCTGCTGCTCTATTACATTGTCTGCCTACCTTTAAGTCATCAGAAATAATCACCCCTAAATCCCTTTCCTCATATGTTGAGGTTAGGACTCTATCAAATATTCTGTACTCTGCCCTTGGGTTTTTACGTCCAAGATGCATTATCTTGCACTTATCCACATTAAATGTCAGTTGCCACAATACTGACCATTTTTCTAGTTTACCTAAATCATTTGCCATTTGGCTTATCCCTCCTGGAACATCAACCCTGTTAAATATCTTAGTATCATCAGCAAAAAGACATACCTTACCATTAAGACCTTCTGCAATATCACTAATAAAAATATTAAAGAGAATGGGTCCAAGTACAAATCCCTGGGGTACCCCACTGGTGCCAAGCTCAAGCTTTGAATATATTCCATTAACTACAACCCTCTGTTGCCTGTCACTCAGCCACTGCCTTACCCATTCAACAATATTGGAATCCAAACTTAAAGATTGCAGTTTATTGAGAAGCCTTCTATGTGCAACAGTGTCAAAAGCTTTACTGAAATCTAGGCAAGCAATGTCTACTGCATCACCCTGATCTATAATTTTAGTTACCCAATCAAAAAAATCAATAAGATTAGTTTGGCATGATCTCCCTGAAGTAAACCCATGTTGTCTCTGAACTTGAAATCCATGTGTTTTTAGATGTTCAACAATCCTATCCTTTAACATGGTTTCCATCACTTTCCCCACTACTGAAGTAAGGCTTACTGGCCTATAGTTGCCGACTCCTCCCTATTACCTTTCTTGTAAATGGGCACAACATTCGCTAACTTCCAATCTTCTAGGACTACTCCCGTTAACAATGATTGGTTAAATAAATCTGTTAATGGTTTTGCTAGTGCACCACTAAACTCTTTTAATAGCTTTGGGTGTTTTCCATCAGGTCCCATTGACTTATTTGTCTTTACTTCTGACAGATGAAATAGAACCTCTTCCTCTGTAAACTCACGTGTAATAAATGACTCATTTATCCTTTTTCTTAACTGAGGTCCCTTTCCTTCATTTTCATCTGTAAATACAGAACAAGAATATATATTGAGGCAGTCAGCTAGACCTTTATCCTCTTCTATATAGCTCCCTTCTTTTGTTTTTAATCTAACTAATCCTTGTTTTACTTTTCTTTTCTCATTTATGTATCTTAAAAATGTTTTATCCCCCTTTTTTACTGACTGTGCTATTTTCTCTTCTGTGTGTGATTTGGAAGCTCTTATAACTTGCTTAGCCTCTTTCTGCCTAATCGTATAGATCATTTTGTCTTCCTCACTCTGGTTTTTTTTATAATTCCTAAATGCTAACTTTTTGTTTTTAACTATTTTGGCCACATCTGTGGAGTACCACAGTGGTTTCTTGAATCTTTTGCTTTTACTGACAAGCCTAATGCAATTTTCTGTTGCCTTCAATAGTGCAACTTTTAAATGATCCCATTTCTCTTGGACTCCATTTAAATTGCTCCAGTCTGATAATGACTCCTCTACACATATTCTAATTTTAGAAAAGTCTGTTTTTCTAAAGTCTAAAACTTTTGTTTTTGTGTGGTGTGACTCAGTCCCTGTTCTTATCTTAAACCACACTGCCTGATGATCACTGGATCCTAAACTTTCACCTACAGTAATATCTGATACTAAATCTCCATTTGTTAACACTAAATCTAGTATGGCCTCCTTACGAGTTGGCTCCTCAACAACTTGTTTTAGAGACAATCCCAGTAAGGAGTTTAGAATATGTGTGCTCCTGGCACAAGTAGCTAATTTTGTTTTCCAATTTACATCAGGAAGATTAAAGTCACCCATGATAATAACTTCCCCCTTCAAAAGCAGAAAAAAACTTCCTTTACCTCTGAAACCTCATTGCAAGCCAAGTCATTTGTCCCTAGATGGACAAGTACATCCAATTCCCCTTTCTGTTTGCTCGCTTAACAATATTACAAATACGTCTCCTGTCTCTGTGAGCAGTAGCTCCGGGAAGACACCTCACAAGACCACCATTGTCCATCTCCACACCTCTTATAATGGAATCCCCTAACAACAACTGCTTTCTATTAGGCCTCACCATAGTCTACAAGCCGGTCTCCACAACACCACTAGCCTCAGTGCCTCTCTCCACAACACCACTAGCCTCAGTGCCTCTCTCCATAAAACCACTAGCCTCTGTGCCTCTCTCCACAACACCACTAGCCTCAGTGCCTCTCTCCACAACACCATTACACTCTGAAAGTGCAGAAAATGAATTATGAAGAGCAACAGACAAAATGCCTTTTATCCACAACTCTAAGTCTACCAGATCATACAGTAATCCATCTGCCATTCCTAGTATGTCTCTGCGGCAGCGGCTTTGCAGCAGTTCCAGTACCATAAAAGTGCACTAAAACTGGTGATTACAAATCTGCAAATGAATAAAAGATAATATAGTGCAGACTATCTGAATGATATATTGAGTAATGGGGAATGAATGAAACAAACTCAAATGGACCAGAGCCCTATCACCCCTGGCTCTGGGTTTGCAAGGCTCCACTTGAGGAAATCACTACCTCAATCAAATGAGGCAAAGGAGGCAAGTCAATGGGGCAGATGGTCTGCCCAATTCTTATTATAAAAATATATGTATAGACGTTGGCCCATTACCTAGTAAAGGTATATCACAAAACACCTGTTACGGGGATCCTCCCACCCGAAATGTTGCTTCATACCATTGTCACCATCTCAAAACCTGACAAACCCACAGACGTGTGTAAACATTTCCTTACTTAATAGGGACGCAAAAATATACATGAAAATTTTGGACAATAGACTTAGCACCACAGTGCCGTATCTCATTACGGATGACCAAACAGGGTTTGTCCAAGGGAGACAAAGATTGTACAACATGCAAAATTTGTCTCTCATTCTAGTACACCTTTGGAAGACCAGCCAAGGTGGACTTAGAAGCGTTTGACCGTCTTGGTTGGTCCTTAATGAGGCAGGCGCTAAAAGCGTTTGGGTTTCCCTTGCAGACCATACGGCAAATCTTGGCATTATGCTCCGACCCAATGGCCCATGTACTGCAAGCGGGGTTCCTTTCCAATCCCTTTGCTGTCACTAATGGGACAGCGAAGGGATTGTCTCTACCATACACCATTAGAGACCATTCAACCATCAAGGGGATTGACATCTGCGGTGCCGAATATAAGATCAGTGCATTTGCAAATTACATATTACTTTATGTAACTCACCCAGTGGAATCCATAATCCCTTATATGATATGGGATTACAGTCTACGATCATATTACTTCCTAAACACCACCAAGACACAGACGCTCAGTATTGGGCTCCCTGCCTCGGAAATAGATGGGCTCCCACATAAATACCACTTTGAGTGGAGAAAAGATAGCATCAAATGCCTGGGATTGTTGTTCACCAAAAGGGCTGCAGATCGCTACACTGGGAACTATATTAAAGTTTGGAATGATTGCAGGAAAATACTCATTGAGTAGAAAACACTATTTCTGATGTGAATAGAAAGGTGTGGAGTCACCACCGCTTGTTCGGGAGCGCTCCTATGAAAGGAACTTCTTTGACTCCTGAACGGGGACCACCCCCATATCTCATTGAGAACCCTAGTAGAACGTTCAAGTAGAACATTCTCACCTCTAGCATAGTTGCAAAACTGCAAGGGAAGCAATTAATGAGTGCTCCCCTGGGTGGCCACCATTTCGTATAGACGAACGCCAACCAGGGGGAGCATTCGTGATTGCTTCCCAACTCGTTCGTCTCCCGCCAATTAATTAGAACGTTTGCACTGGCGTCATAGCAAGGGAAGTAATTAATGAGTTCTCCCCTGGGTGGCTGTCATTTAGTACCATGAAAAGAGACGCTTCCCTTTCAGGTTTCAGCACAGGAATCTCGCGAACGGAGATGGCCTAGAGAATGTGCCAGTGTGAGGTCGCCTGGGGTTGGTGGGGACACTTTTGGGGTACTGGCTAATTTGGCTGGCTTTTCTGTGCCTGGGAGATAAAGACACATTTTCCTTTTCTCGCGCCTGAGTGGTAGGCTTTCCATATTTAGGAGACAAAGGGACAATGACCCCCAGAGCATAGAGGAACCTGGGATAACCCCTATTAATGTGTGTGGAAGACCCCTTGCATGGACCTATGCATAAAAGTCATGTGTGGCAATAAAATTGTGTTGTACCTCCAGAACTGTGTGTCGTTCAGTTATTGGGGAGAAATGGGTCTCTTAATATTACTATAAGTGGTTCCTGAGCAGCTGTAGGAAGGAATTAGCAGAGGTAACAGGTCGGGTTACCCATGGTCCACTATAACTAGTGGCAAGCGGTGGGATGAGTACTTCCCAGCTGAATGGAACCAGTGTTCGTTAGCTGAATCAGTCCATGAACTTTGCAAAACTAAAGAGGCAAATGCTACAGGAGATGTTGGCGGCCCGAGGATGAGCGGCTGGTAGAAGGATGCCTTCGATAAGGAGATGGCCCGCTGCCTGGCATACTACAGAGGAAGCCCATCCCAGGAGATCACGGCAAGGACCATCTCAGAGTTCCAGACCTACATCCTGGCACTGCCGGCATGGGCAGCTGAGGTGGCCACAGCGAGTGCAGCACCTGCTGACCTGAATGCGTTCAAACCGTTCATCAAAGCAGAGGAGGACAGTGACGAGTTCTTCGAAGATTTCAAAAGATTTACAAAATTGCTCCCTCTGCTTGGGTCCCCCTGCTCGCCGGGAAGTTAACCGGTAAGGCTGTGTTAGACTAGCTGAGGGATTATGACCTGGTAAAGAAGGTCCTACTGGCCAGATATGCGGTGACCCCGCAGGAAATTTTGGGAGTAGAAAAGGGGGAGCCAAGACTCCCATGTCAAGTGGGCTTTTCGCCTGACCCGGGCAGCCCAAAATTGGACTGCCCGGATGTTCTCACCCACCTGGTGTGTGGGAACCTCCAGGCGGCACAGAGGTGCCAGCGCACTTGGTATGATATGGGAGCCAGGAGCCGTAGCTTTCAAGTCAGTCAAAAAGTGCTGGTTCTGAAAACCGTACGACACGGCAGGCTACAGGCTGCTTGGCAGGGCCCATTCCGGTTAGTGGAACGGATGTGTGACACTACCTACATTATCGATCTTTTCTCAGGTGACGGGGTTAGATGCAGGTTGCATGTTAACATGCTTAAGCCCTACCACGAGTGGACAGAGGATGTAGCCACTATCTGTGCTCAGAAGATTTTGACACTCTTCCCCTTCCTGACCTACTGGAAGATGGAGCTCAGACCGGGTCCATAGAGAAAGTCCAACTGGATCGGCTGACAGAGAGGGAATGCTGGCAAGCGCAGCAGATGCTATCGGCCAAGAGGGAGACATTCTCTAACCTGCCCAGGGAACCCCACTGGCCACCCACAGAGTAGAGACCCCCAATCAACCACCATGCATGTTAAAATGCTAAGCTATGTTAAGTTCTACCACGAGCAGACGAAGGATGATTTTCACAATCTTCCCCTGCCTGACTTCCTGGAAGACGGAGCTCAGACTGGGTCCATAGATGAGGTCCAACTAGGCTACCAGCTGACAGAAAGAGAATTCCGGCAAGCACAGCAGATGCTATTGGCCAAGAGGGAGACATTCTCTAACCTGCCTGGGGTACCCCACTGGCCACCCACAGAGTAGAGACCCCTGACCAACCACCTCTGAGGCAAACACCATACCGAATCCTAGAGGCAGGAGTGCCAGGAAATGTTCTGACTAGGGGTAATTGAACCGTCCAAGAGTCCGTGGGCTTCCTCGGTAGTGCTGGTCCCGAAAGCATGACGGAACCACCTGGTTCTGTGTAGACTACCGGAGGCTCAATGACAAGACGTCTCAGACACTTACCTCATGCCTCGTATCAACAGGCTAAGATGGCTCAGGGCCAGTGCTTCACCACTATGCTTTCCTATGGACGCTGTCGTGCTCTCACTGTGAAAATCACAGTGAGAAGCACGCAAGCGCCTCTAGTGGCTGTCAATGAGACAGCCACTAGAGGGAATGGGGGAAGGCTTAACCCATTGATAAACATAGCAGTTTCTCTGAAACTGCTATGTTTATTAAAAAATGGGTTAACCCTAGAAGGACCTGGCACCCAGACCACTTCATTAAGCTGAAGTGGTCTGGGTGCCTAGAGTGGTCCTTTAAGCAAACCTCTCTAAGGAGGAACTGACTAACTACTAAAAAAGTGCTTAAGTGAAATATAAAACTAGCAGCTCTATACACTACATAGTTACATAGGCTGAAAAGAGACATGTGTTCATCAAGTTCAGCCTTCCTCATATTGTTTTTAGCTGTTGTAAAGTTTGAATCACTTCCAATTTTGCAACAAACTAGGAAAAACAAATTCCTCTTGACCCCAGAATGACAGTCATATTTATCCTTGGATCAAGAAGCTATTACCCTACAGTTGAAAGACCATATCATTGAATATTCTTTCTATCATTGAATATTCATTTTTGCAAGTTTACATCTAGTTGCTGTTTAACCCCTTAAGGACCAAACTTCTGGAATAAAAGGGAATCATGACATGTCACACATGTCATGTGTCCTTAAGGGGTTAAACATCTGTACAGACTCAGATAAAACCACTTCTTCAGGTAGAGAATTCCACATCCTTATTGTTCTTACAGTAAAAAAAACCTTGCCTTAGACTAAATCTTCTTTCCTCCAGTCTAAACACATGACCTTATGTCCTATGTATAGTTCTGTTTGTAAATAGATTTCCACACAATGGTTTGTATAATAGTTTCATATTCCCTCTGAGACAACGTTTTTCTAAACTAAAGATGTTTAAATTTGTTAACCTTTCTTCATAGCTAAAATGTTCCATTCCTTTTATTAATTTTATAGCTTGCCTCTGCACTTCTTATAGTAATATATATATGATATATATATATCCTTTTTTAGAACAGGTCCCTAAAATTGCACAGCATATTCAAGATGTGGTCTCACCAGTTATTTATAAAGAGGCAAACTGATATTTTCATTGCAAGAATTAATGCCATTTTTCATGCATGACAATACCTTACTGGCCTTAGCCACTGCTGATTGGCATTGCACAGTGTTGCATACAATTCCCAAGTCCTTCGTGTGCGTTGTTATCCCTAATTCGACCACTAGTGTGGAATACCCTCTTAAACATACACATAAAAAAAAAACAAGCGGTACAAGCAAAAACCTATACGCATGTACGGAGTAGTGGATCTCCGTAAGTAAAAGGCGTAACTTACCCAACATTATCTTGTAGAAACCGTGTATACCAGATATATATAAAAGATAAAAGAATATAGTGTATATGGTAACAATATATACAATTATTTTGGAGAAAAATGAATCACTCACATTTAAAAGAGCCTGTATATATATATATATATATATATTAGTCTGTAATTAAGGCTTGTATGTTCTTAAGGTAGCATCACACCACTCTTCCACTCCAATAAAAGAGAGAAAGACATCTGATGTGTAGTACAATCAAGTAAAATACCATATAAATTAAAATTAGGTATTAAGCTCATCTTGTTCAGAGCCTTAAAATCCTGGCAATGAGGGTAATAGATAGTGTCAATATAAATGGGATGGCACAACCCCAATGGATATCTTTGAAGCTACAGAGGACTTATAAAGTGGTACTAAATTTATTTTGCACAAAAATATTTTTAAAACAGATAAAATAAACCATAAAATGAGCAAATAGAATATACACTTACAAAAAAAAGTTCTGAATATATCCAAAACATGTTTTACTACTCCTGGAGCTTACTCAGTCAGCAGTAATCTGTCCTCATAAATCTTCCATTTTTAAGTGTCACCTAGACCCACCTTTTGGGTCACATGTTTTGTCCTTTCATCCAATCATAAAGTCCTAATGTAGTCATTCCCTTTAGCTGTAATATGAGCACCTGTTGGTATACAACCTGATTGGTTGGTGGTTCTCCTGCCAATTTTGCTCTTGATTTCATTGGTGGTCAGTGGTGGTTAGCGGAAGCATGCTGCACGCCATTCGCGGTTGACGGAAGTGATGTCACGAGACATCCCACTCCTCACTTCCTCCAAACCTCGTGGATGGCTGGATCTGCCTTAACTTCTCCTTCCTCCATTACATTAACTAGTGCAAAAGAAACTACTCCACATGGAGCTGGTTAATCAAATATCAAAATTAACTCTTTACGTGAAAAACATAATACAAATAAAACAAAAAGAATACATCACAAATTCCATAAGATATAATTAAACAAAAAAGGACAATCATATTCAAACATATGCCTGAATCAATACATATAGACAATTAACATACTGATATTATTATTATAATTATTATTATTTATAAAGCACCAACACATTCCGTAACGCTGTACAATGGGTGGACTAGCAGACACTTAATTGTAACCAGACAAATGGACGCACAGGAACAGAGGGGTTGAGGGCCCTGCTCAATGAGCTTACATGCTAGAGGGAGTGGGGTATAGTGACACAAAGGGTTTAAGTAGGGGTACTGAAATAGGTTACTAGAAAAGCAATCACTGAGAAGTTGGGGTAATTAAATAGGTTGCTAGAAAAGTAATCACTGAGAATGTAGTAGATTATTTTTGACAGTTGCAGGAGAGGAATCATCTGGGGGTGAAAACCTGCTAACAATTTAGATAATATGTGTAGCGGAGAGCTGGTCTTTCACAGGTTAACTCCACTAAAGATCCCAGTGAGGCTCAGGAACAAGTAATAAAATCCCATAAAACAATAGTCACAGCAAGCAAGGTAATCCACGAATATTCCCATACAGATCCCAATGACTGGACAACACACAGCATCAGGAGCAGAACTGAACTTTTAATCCACACAACCTTCTTTTAAAGCTTTCTCCCATGCAAGGGAGGGATTCACATTAATCAGTACCAGGGCCGGCCTTAGGCAATTAGGCGCCCTGTGCAAAAAGTCTTCACGGCGCCCCCCCCACCTCCCACCAAGTTGCCTGAATACAGTAACACACACAGGCACCGGGGACGTGTGTATCACGAGGCAAACAAGGCATCTGCCTTGGGCGCCACTTTGCAGGGGGCGGCAAAAAAAAGCATCCCTCCAAACCCCCAGGCAGATCCCTTGCTTGCCTCGCATCCTGGGGGGCTCAAGAGCTGACCGGCTGGCCACTTTTGAGCCCCCCCAAGGCTGGCAGCGGGCAGCGAAGGAGCATACTCACCTGAGCTCTTCCTGCTCAGCTTCCTCTGCGCCGCTTAATGAAGCCGGGAGCCAGAATATGACGTCAGTCCGGCTCCCGGCATCACTAAGCGCTGCTTACTCAGCCTGTGCGCCCCCTGCCTGCCTGCCCAGCAGCCACACTGGACTGCTGGTAAGAAATCCACTCCAGCTTTCCCAGGGAGGCTGGGTGGATTTAAAATAAATGTAAAAAATATTAGTTTGTGAGTGTTAGTGGAAATGTCTGTGTGTGTGTCTGTGAGTGTTTATTTTGAAGTGAATGTGTGTGTGTGTGTGTCTGTAAGTGTGTAATTGTGTGTGTCTGTAAGTGAATGTGTGTGTGTCTGTGAGTGAATGTGTGTGTTGGTCAGTGAGTGTATATGTGTCAGTCAGTGAGTGTGTATGTGTCAGTCAGTGAGTGTGTATGTGTCGTCAGTGAGTGTGTATGTGTCGTCAGTGAGTGTGTGTCGGTCAGTGAGTGTGTAGGTCAGTGAGTGTGTATGTGTCGGTCAGTGAGTGTGTGTCGGT